GTCACGCACGCAAAAAACATCACTTCATTGGTAAGCGAGACCACAACCTTTGGAGGGGCAGCCATGTAGATAGATGGTGGAAGTGTTTCTCTGTCTTTCACAATTACAAGCAAGCTCAAAAGACCTAAACTGACAGTGACTTAACAGGTGACCCGTCTTGTCTGGCCCTTTATGACACTATAAAGGAGTCCATAGTAGGCATCATTGCCAGATCCCTTTGGGTGGTTCACCAGTGTATATGCTTTCTATACTTTTCACTTAAATATCTTCAAAACTGATTATTGTCACCTATGTTTTTAAATTGAGATATTTTTTGACCGATAACGCAATAGCTCAGCAGAATTGCAAAAAGTGCTACAACTATATATATATTTACATCTCTATTTTATGTTTGGCTCTGGTTGAGACTCTGGGGGATTATTTTGGGGTAATATCGGGGGCGGTCTGACGCCTTGTTTCCCTGTTCTTGGAAAGCCATTTCTTCTTAACCCGGGTTCGACCACAGCGGCTAATATTAGTCCAGCCGGCCCCGGACAGTTATCCGGTTGTCCGTTAGGGGGAGTGCAGAGTGTCCCGCACACTACGGAACTGAGTCAACGCATTTTCCAGATTCAAGAAGGGTAGGGCGCAGGGCGGCTGGCCCCCGCAAGAGCAGAGCTACTTCCCCAGCTGAACCGATGAGCTATTGCGGCCAATTGATGTCTTCAGATGAGATCTAAGACGACGCTCTGCATTTAGTTGGTTTGACGTTCATTCTCCGTTGGCCGTTGAAAAATCACAGTCCGACAAAATGTCAGATCCGCTGGTTGCTGACACTCGCCGGTTGAATTCCAAGCCCCAGGACCTGACGGATGCTTACGGCCCCCCGAGCAATTTCCTTGAAATAGACGTTTTCAATCCACAGATCGTTGGAGTCGGACGGACCCGTTACACAACTTACGAGGTTCGCATGAGGGTAGGTGCCGAGCCGTCATTCAAAACACCTTGTTGCAGAATGAGTTGTTTTTTTTCTCTCTCTCGCTAAGCTAACTGGTAATTACAATGTTGTTGCTAGCCACATAGCATGGTTAGCCGATACGCCGAAGTCAGGAGAGAAGCGGCTGTGACGTTGACGTTAGGCGCCCACAGCGGCTTAAGATGGCGCGGGAGTAAAACTCAAGGGCCGAGGGTCGGCAGCGGCCTGGTCTGTGGTTTCGGGATGGCTTGTGTTGTTGGCAAAGCGTGTTAGTAGAAGTTTATTGAACGCGAAAGAGAGGAAAACGCTTTAAACTCTAGCCTGACCACAAGCGCCCAGGTAACGCTGTCGTTAAGAGTCATTCAAACCAACTGCTAAGCAGGTTTGAATTTACTAAAGTGAAGCTAACTCCATGAAAAGGGAGCGAGGGAGTTCAAGCCAACACCGTGAAGCTAACAGCTAACACGGTGGTCGTCTACACAGTGCTGCTTGGAAAAAGACTAATTTGACAGTATTTGATAGCATAATGCAAAATAAGGGTTACATAAAGCGTACACCATTAACTTTTCAACAGCGTTAAGAGGTTTAAATTATATAAGAAATGGCCAGTTATATATACAGAAAAAAAGCCGTCTTTGCATTAAAAAAAAAGGATAAAACATGGATGAAACGACATCCCTTTTCTTATAATAAACGAATTGGTAACTGTTGAGCCGATAGTTGGCCAGTTTTGTCTGAAGTAGCCGAAGAAACAGTAGAAAGTTGAACTTCTCAGACACTGGGAAGAAGGTAAGAGTGAGAGCTGGTAAAATCCCCAAACACAGCACTTTTTTTTGTAAGAAGCTGATGCTGACACCGTGCAGACGGCGGTTGCGTAACCGCCACTTCCCATGTGTGTCTTACTTCCACCGACTTCTGTGTTCGTCAGAGTTCAGCTATTGCAACAGAGACTTAACTGCTCCCACCTCCTATATCTCTGTCCAGCAAAGCTCCCATGGAAGTTAATCTATGCTGTATTGGCACCGCTGGTACGATCAAACTAAAACCAAGTCCTGACAAGTAGAAAACAACAGAAAATGAATCAGTCCCAGTTGAGACCGAAGCGTTATGAATCCAAGGCCACAACTTTTTCACCCCTCACCTAAGGGGAAAATCATTTGAACTTGAAAGTTTAGTAGCTGAATTTGTCTTCTTATTTCCGTACCTCAAACATTTAATCAATTACTCCTGTAAGAAGCAACAGAGGAAACGGTGTAGCAGCCCCATATACGAATATAGCTGACCTTATTTTCAGATTTTTATCGTCGACAGAACTGCTACTGAAGGCCCGGCCTGTTCACATTGCTCTCCACGCTCTCTCTGCAGACAAACCTTCCTATTTTCAAATTGAAGGATTCCTGCGTGAGGAGAAGATACAGTGACTTTGAGTGGTTAAAGAATGAGCTGGAAAGAGACAGTAAGGTGAGTGAGCACTAATGACAGCTTCCCAGCTGATGATTGAAGAAGCATGACAAATAGAAAGGTTTGGGTTTTAAGTGTTGTTTTCTTAGCAAAAAAAAAAACCCAAAACAAAACCGGATGAATTCCCCTTTAGGTGCATCTGCAGATGCACATGTCCGCTGCTTTGGACCTTCATTGCAGGGTGATCTTTCTTTTTTAAAGAAAAACTCTCCTCTTTGACCTCCTTCGCGTTCAGATTGTAGTACCACCTCTGCCGGGAAAGGCCCTGAGGAGACAGTTGCCATTCCGTGGGGACGAGGGCCTTTTTGAGGAGTCCTTCATTGAGGAGCGGCGGTCGGGCCTGGAGCAGTTCATCAACAGGTCAGCCGGCCCGTCGTCCTCCTCCCAAACAAACCAGAGCGTTTGCCGCCGTCTAGAATTTGAACCGGGAATTGTGTCAGCATGCTGATGAAAACAGCCACAAGGCTAAATCAGAGACTGATTAGTGTTATTCTGTCACTAAGCTCTCAGGTTAAATCTGCTCAGGCATGTATTAAAGCCCTTCTTGTCCTTTCTGTTTAGGGGCTGTTCAGACAAAAAAAAAAAAAAATGTGTTGGCCTTGAACAGAATTGTCCACATTCACCAAATTCAGGCAAAGTCTTAATGTAGTGTGTGGAAAAGCGCGTCCACATCTGGCTAATTCCATGAGGAGCATTTAAAACCAAACAAACAAACAAGCAAACCAAGTGAGGTGTTCATGTTCTGCCGTCTGTGTGTGTGCTTGTGCAGAATTGCAGGTCACCCCTTGGCCCAGAACGAGCGCTGTCTTCACATGTTTCTGCAAGAGGAAGCCATCGACCGGAACTACATCCCCGGAAAAGTACGACACTAGGGTTTTATTGAGGGAAGTGGGCAGGCGGGGTTAAACCCTGGGTTTGGGGGGGGGGGGAACACGGACTGCCTCTTGCCTTTTTCAGTCTGTCTCATTCAGCTCTATTTGCCTCTCTCACTCTGTGTAAAGTCATATGCACTTTCTCTTGGAGGTGACGTTTGCTTCTTGAGCTCTAAGTAACGTGTTGATGACGTGTCAGACGACTCTGTGACTCCTTTCCCCATGTGCATTTGTTTTCTAACTGCAATAAGGAAAGCGCCTTCGGTAGTTGTCACTGTGTGGTGATTATGTGGCTCTTACACTCGATTTTTAGGAACGGGAATACTGTTACGATAAAGTCAGGCTCCCCCCCCATGAGTGTCATAAGTTCCTGCTTGTAATATAATGTGAATAAAGTAGAACGATGTCTAAATGCGTGTGACGGCACTAATGTTTACCGCAGGGATGCACGGCGATGAGAATTCTGACTCTGTTTTGTTCTCTTTTTGTGTTTTTTTTCTTTGTTTTTTTTTGTAGGTATGAGTGAAGTAAGTTTGCTTTATTTTTATTCTTGCCATCTAACAGCTCTTTGAAAGTCTAAGGTGGTTGCATGGGCACTGTACAAACCAAAAGGCGATAGTTCACAAACACTTGAGTAAAGACATTGCAAACGCCCCGTTTAACTTCTGCCAGAAATCTGACGGCAGTTGAACCCTAGAAACTGAGCCAGCCGCTGTCTGGTGAAAGCTGCCGTGATAACTAACCTCCGAAGCGTTCACCTCACAGCGTTTAGCAGGAGAAACGCTCTGCCGGCCACTTTTCTGCTTTGGTCCCCCAATGCGGCCAAGAAACACCACGAATTGGCCTTCAATTGGAAACCAATCCTTTTGGTTGAATCCTCTTTGCGGCAATCTGACTCGCAGAAGTTTCTCCACTAGTCATTTTTCGGGGCCCCTTTTTGTGAAGTCATGTGAACTATTGTTTAGTAGGGGACAGCTGTTTCACATCACCTGTAACGAGCTCTTCGAAAACCTTTTCCAAACTAATCCCCGTTTCCGTGGCGATCGGCCGCACTAATCACTGCCTGCATGGTGCACGTCCTCCCTGCAGAACATCCGCCATGTTGACTTGCTTCTTTTAACATCCTTTGATCAACATAATGTTGCCTGATTTTCTGATTCTAATCTGGCTGCCCTCTGTTTTTTATTTTTTATTTTTCCAGAAGCAGATGTACTGTGTTAGAATGTCTGCGTCTGGAAAAAAAATAAACCACTGATTCGGTGTAACCTTTCAGTGTTGGCGTTAACCCCCCGCACCGGGGCCCACAGTTCATCAGACGGGGTTTGGCGTCTGATGATTTTGCTCAGTACTGATACTTCTAACAGCAGATTTAAAAAGAGAAAAAAATCATTTCTCTCCGTCTGCTGCATGCTGGTCAAAGGAAGGTGTTAAGGCAGGAACAGCAACATGGCTCTCCCTAGCATAGAGGAAGTACAGAGGCTTTGCATGGTGCTTCACGGTGAAGTGTGCTGAACAGTGACCCCCTCAGCTCAGGAAGTGTGTGTGTGTGTGTCTGTCTGGGATTGGACGCTCTGTTCTGAAACCTGCATGCAGTAATATCAAATCTAAAACTCCCATTAAGGTTACAGGGTTACAGATAGTCTTTTTTTTTTCTTTTTTTTTCACCTACTGCTCGATCCAGCAAATATCTCAGCCTGGAAAGTGCCTGCAGAAAAGAAAAGAAAAAAAAAAAGATTTGGGGGATGGTTAGTGTCTGTGGGTGTGCATCAGCAGAGCCTGTGTGACGGAGCTCTGGCCGAGTCCGGGTTGTGTGCTGCAACCTGTTGGTGTCTGTGTCTCACGCCCTCTTTTTCTCTCTTCCCCTCCGTCTGGCTGAAAAGAAAGAGCAGACCGCCGCCCCCGGCCCATGTACATTACTTTCTACACGTCCTTCTAACGCTGATGGGAATGTCCGAGGTGAAAAGTGTCATCGGTGTTGGAAAAACACAGCTGTCTCACCGGGACAAAGTATAAATAAGTTTGTGTTTTATCTTCCTTCGGGTCATTCCACATACCGTATGTACATTCTCATGATTCAGTCGTCGGTTATGAAGACAACATGCTTCATACATTATTTTTTTGTTTTTGCCATTTTATCATGTTTTTTTTTTATATAACTAAAGATTATTTTGCTTTGTAAGGGATTTGAATGGATTCGATCACCTATAAATTACCTGCTGTCATCGGTCTTTTCTTTTGCCGAGCAAGATGTGATTTTCAGACGGCAACCTCCCAAAGTCGAGCAACATGTAGCATCTTGAATCAGACAGCAGCTCTTCATTCCAGTTGCCCCCGCCCGCCCCGGGTTTTTTGCCCCGCACACGCTCTCGAACAGGGCCACTCGTTTTAAACCCTGCTGTCTTAGTTACTGCGTCATCACGGCTTCATTTTGGCTGCACATTATCAATAGTGGGAATGTTAAGTTAGTCAAATAACCATATCTAAGCACTGTGACGAGAGGATCATGACACAAACAATATCTCATTGTCTAAAGACATAATCAGCACCTGGTTAAAGGAGAGGGAGAAAAAAAACTAAAAGAAATAGGCTTATTTTGTGCTTGTTTTCAACTCTTTAATTCTATATTATCGTGAAATGTATTGAGACATGCTGTCATTGCAGTTCCACTTTGGGTAAGAAGGAATTTCCCCTGTCAATTCTGTCCACAAATTAAATTTCCTGCTGCCTGCTGTGTCTTGTTTCTTTTGGGCTTTGGCGTTGAGGAATGCAAAACAAAAAAAAAAGAAAGAAACATCACCAAACTCGCATTTGAGTTTGGAATGAATGTGTTGACTCTGTGAGTAAGCGAGCGGATCAGAGAGAGAGTCGGGGAGCCGGCTGGACGGAGGCAGATGATTCAGTAAAACGGAACATTTCAAACACCTTTTTTTTTTTTGTGTCTGAGAGGCAGTGGCGTGGTAAGAGCGGTGGAACATGGTGGGCCGTGATGGGTGGCTTTTACAAGATACATCAACAAGTTTTTAAAAACTCAAACATCCTGAAAAAAATGTGTTTGTACCTTTTCTGTAGCAAAGCAAAAACCAAAGCCAGACCATGCAACACATAGTTGAGACATTTGAACACTGAATTGTGACTTTGTCCCACTATGTCACATTCCAGAGCTTTTAGTAATTACAACTCTGGGTTGGACAGAACGTGACTGTTTGGCCCTGGAACTACTCACTGATTACACCATTTGGTAATTACATAAAAAATTGTACAGCCAGATAAGTCGTCTTTCACCTTCTTGATAAGACTGAAGTGAATTTGACTTGCAGCTCCATAAAATGGACAGAAAAAGCTTTCACGTGGGAATTTTTTTCTGTCCTCTGTAGCACTTACTACTAGGAGGCCAGTTAAACCACCACATCCTACTTTCTGACCTCTGCTTCTGGACTTCTTGATCATTTTGCACAGTTCATCCCAAGCAGCAGACATAAATGCTGCTCTTCATAAAATATTGCACTAAATAACTACATAAATTAGGAAAGGAAAACCTAGTCGTGGGCAGTTTACTCTGCATTTCAATTTTTTTTTTTTACAGTGCTCTAATCTCTGCCCCTTCCGTTACTGGTGTTCAGGAAGTGCAGGGATTAACAGCGGGTGGGAATTTCTGGCCACAGGTGGATTAAACTTGTCCCAGAATAGTGATCTTGTGATACAGGGCTTGAGCTACAGGTGATCCAAACTAGTCCTGACTGTAATCAGACTAAACTGCTTTTGCACTTGAAAAGAAAAATAAATGAATTCTAAGGGGGGGGGGGGGGTGTTCACAGCGGCCACACATAAACAGATGTGTCCAAATAAATGTTCTACATTTTTTTTAAAAAATTTTCATGATGCCTTTTTTAAAAAAAAAAAAAAAGGGGGAGGCTTGATAATCAAAAGAAAGAATGTGCAGGGACCTAAGCATGACGTCTCTCATGTGAGAAGACTGTGACCTATAAAAGGAGTTAGCTTTGATGTGTTGGCCTTGTCCCGAGTAATGAAAGGTGAGCAGACAGGATGGGAGCAGAGGGCCCACGCAGAGATTAGCTGCTGTTTTGTTAGCAGTTTTCACTATAGAATCCTGTGTGCAGCCATGACGCTTGTTGTATTTTCTGAGACACCCAGTTGGGTCAGCTTGATAAAGTGGAAGTGAATTGAAAGAGCAACCCAAAGCAGCGTGACTGAACAGGAACAAAAGGTGAGATGAGTGACTGCTTCGGTACCACCAGACAGCGAGCGGTGGCTAGAAAGGGAGGAACTTCAAATCATAGATCCTCCTGTGTAAAGTTACCTCTGGTTGAGTCAAATGTAAAGGGAAGGAAAATCAATTAATTCAATTTTATATTCGAATAACAGGAAGAACGGGACACGTAACAATTCAATTAACAGCAGACTCCCTCTTTCCAAATGCCTAAACAGATCTAAACTTGTTTTAAATTATTGTTGACACCACCCTCCTCCTCCCTGCTTTTTTCATGTATAATGTGATTTCCTGCATACAATTAACACAGATCCGTTTATTGCATGTTTCATCCCGTTGAGCTTGGCCTGCTTGGATCATTTGACAGTACCGGGAGTCTGAACAGAAAAGGGATATAATCTGCGTGTGAAGCTTTTCCCCAACTACATAATCACCCCAGTGGTTCAAGAGTACATTCAAGATATTGTCAAAATGGACGACATTTATTATCATGTCATTGACAGGCTGTTTTCAACATGCACTTTTTTTTCAATAGGCACAAAATTACTATTTTTTAAAGAGCATGAACAATCAGTTTGTTATAACGTGTTAACATTAGATGTTTTGCTATGCAGACCAGTGTGCATGTCTACTTTGTCATCATTAAACTTAGGGTTAGATAGGGTTATTATCACAAAATACCTAAAAAGTGTAATTAACCTAAGTTATTTGGGGTACTCTGGCTTCCTCCAATCGTCCAAAAACCTGCATGTTAGGTTGATTGGACATTCCA